ACGCGACGATATCGCCAGATTGATGCTGTCAGAAATGTTTGTAATTTTATAATTAATCCGATATTTTTTTGGTGGAGTATATTTTGAAGACATCATTAATTACATTTTAGATATATCAAGGATCCTTTAGAAGATTTTTAAAATTAAGGCACAAATATTGTCCATTTTAATTAGAGTGAAATTTCGGACGGCGCTTACAGTACCGTCGTCTTATTGTTGACATCCAAATTCCCCCGACTCCCTCAACAACTCCAAAACCGTGCCTTCCTTCACAGAGAAGTTGCAGCTCGTTTCGTTGAGACTGTATCCCAGAAAGGGTAGTCATGGAAACGGCCACCCACCACCCCGGTAATCGGCTCAGGATCCCAAACTCGACTCCGGCGGCGGCAGCGTTTCGTACTCGACATCAGCATCAGCAGGCGGGTCGGGACTAGGGACTCTGGCAATTGCTTTACGTGCACCGGGATATATGCCACGTCACACAATCTGATGGGGCTTTATACGACATTTCTCGAGAAAAGTATTCTCTTTTAGAAAGATGCCGAGAAAAGGGAAATTCGATATAACTATTTTTAAGGAAGATAGATCTTAGAACTATTTGAAAAGTTTTGAGAGCAAAAATGTAGAAAACTCATCGATATAAAGTTCTGTGAAACATATCTTTAAATTGAAATATATATACAAGAACAATTCTTGTCAGATTATATGTTTAATGTTAAAACATAACTTCAGACAAAAAATTTGTAGAGAATAATACATATATTTACAATTTCTTCATTTAAACAACTTTCTTAATATTATCTATATCTGTTTCGATATAAAGAACTATTGTTTTCAATTTAAGACAAGGAATTTTTTGATCCATAAGTAAGAAATAATATTTCGAATAGAACACTATCAATGAGAAACAAAGTTTATTCGATAAAAATAAAACGAAGAAATACTTCTTCTTTAAGTGCCGTCTCACAATCGAAGGTTGGATGTCATCATTACTATCTTTACTTTATCTACTGCTGTTCTGAAGGGTTCCATAGTGAATTTAAACCAGTCCCTTAAATTTTTCGATCATGACACTCTCCTTCTTCCCATACTCCTTCCTCCTCTTATCTTTCCCTGTATTATCAGCCTTAGCAGTTCATATCGCTGTCCCCTCACTAAGTGTGCCAGATATTGTAACTTTCTAATTTTTATTGTGTTTATTATTTCGGATTCTTTGCCCATTTCTCGCAATACTTCCGTGGTAGTTTTCTTCTAGTACAAATACTACAAATCCTTAATAAAATAAAAACTCAGTTCTCAACAGATGGACACAACATAAAAACGACACCATACATCAGACAGTAAATAAAGAATTAAACAAAAATTTAGGAAATATCGACCACAATAGAATTACCGAGTACGATGACATAAACGTTCAGTGGAAAACTTTTAAAGAACAAATGAACAATGTAGCGGAAAAACATCTAAAAGTAATACCTAGAAATAACAAACAGGAATGGATGACAGAAGAGATTTTACAATAAATGAACAAACGAAGAGAATCTAAAGGAAAAAATGATAAGGACGGAGAATACAAAAGAGAGAATAGAAAAAAAATTAACCGAAGCAAAAGAGAAATGGCTGGAAACAAAATGCGTTGAAATAGAAGAACTGCAACAAAGGCACGATTTTTTTTAATTTACATAAAAAGGTAAAAGAATTTACATCGACTACCAAGAGAACGACTTTTCACAACATGCTGAACACAGATGACAAACTGCTAGAATCAACGGAAGATAAACTGAAAGAATGGGAAAACTATATTAAAATTCTTTTTCACGACATACGAGAAGAACCAAGATTGGAAAATAACAACGAAGGGCCAACAATTCTGAAATCTGAAATCATAAATGCAATTAATCATCTTAAAACAAATAAAAGCCCAGGTCCAGACGGAATATACCCAGAAACGTTAAAATTGATTAGCGAAGCAAATATCGAAATATTTGTCCTTTTATTCAATCGCATTTATGATACAGGTAAAATACCCCAAGATTGGCTGGAGTCAATATTCATCCCACTAACAAAAAAGCCAAACCCACAACACTGCAATGAGTTCCGTCTGATAAGCTTTATGAGCCATGCAGTAAAAGTCCTACTAAAAATCGTACATAATCGTATCTATAGAAAATGCGAAACAATGATCGGAGACGATCAGTTTGGATTCAGAGCCGGCATGGGAACGAGAGAAGCCCTGTTCAGTTTACTAGTTCTCGCCCAAAAATGCTACGACCAACAGAAAGATATATTTATATGCTTTATAGACTTCGAAAAAGCATTTGATAGAGTAAGACACGACCTACTATTAGAACGTTTGCAAGAAGTCGGTTTAGATGGAAAAGACATCAAATTCTTAAAAAAATTGTACTGGAACCAAAACGCCAGAGTTAGGATCGAAGGTTCCACATCCGCAGAAGTAGAAATTAGGGAGGGAGTTAGACAAGGATGTGTTCTGTCGCCTCTGCTGTTTAATCTTTACTCCGAGTTTCTATTTAAAGAAGCATTACAGGATTCCAAGGATGGAGTCAATGTGAATGGCGTAAATATCAACAGTTTCAGATACGCCAATGATACAGTGTTAATTGCGGATTCCGACTTAGGTCTACAACGACTCATCGACAAGACCAACTCGACCTGTGAGCAATTTGGTATGAAAATAAACATTAAAAAAACCAAAGTGATGTCAATCCGAATAAACCAAAACGTACCTCAACCTTGCACAATAAATGGGCACATTTTAGAACAGGTCAATAGATTTAAGTACCCTGGATGTTGGATCGATAGCAGCCTAAATCCTGATCTAGAAATAAGATCGAGAATAGAACAGGCCAGAAAATATTTCGAAAAAATAAAAAAACTGCTTTGTGATTCTCGAATAAAACTCGAAATTCGACTACGTTTATCAAAATGCTACGTCTGGTCGACTCTTCTATATGCAGTTGAATATATGCAATTGAAACGTGGACCCTTAAAACATCAACCGTAAATAAATTGGAGGCCTCTTAAATGTGGATCTACCGGAGAATACTCAAAATTTCATGGACATCGCATACCTCAAACGAAGAAGTGCTGCATAGAATAGGCAAGGAAAGAGAACTTTTTAACACAGTAAAAGTTAGAAAAACATCATATCTAGGCCACATACTGAGAAATAATAAGTACCAATATGCCCAACTTATAGTGAAAGGAAAAATCGAGGGAAAGAGAGGCCTAGGAAGGAAAAGACTATCGTGGCTCAGAAACATCCGACAATGGACAGGGCTAAATTTTGAACAGCTAATAAGAACAGCTGAAGATAGAGAAGAGTTTAAAATTGTAGTAGCCAACCTCCATTGAGGAGAAGGCACTTTAAGAAGAAGAAGAAGGACACAACATTTCAGCGAACATCTAAATATAAACGATATTGAAGGAGGTTATCACATAGATAGACAATCAACCAAATCTACTACGTCAACTAAGCAGTGAAGACCCAACAAGAGAATTTCATCCTAAATAAAGCCCTAGGAATTGATGAAATAGGTATGTTCGAAAATGTATAAAATAGGTGGTGATCAACGTTTTGCAGCAATCCATAAACTAATAGTACTTAGATGGCAGAATTAATTGGTACCTGAAGATTGGCTAAAGGAAATAATATGTCCGTTGCATAAAAATTGTGATCAACTGGAGTGTGAAGAACTATAGAGACACTACTCTGAGTATCTGTGTATAGAATGTATTGTTTTAAAGACTTAAACATTTTGCAAAGGATATTGTTGGTGAATATCACCTGTAAAGTCAACTACATATCAAATTCAAGCACATAGGCAGATTGTAGAAAAGTCACTAGAATATAACATCGATACACACCATCTCTTCGTCGACTTCAAAGCAGCCTATGACAGTGTGAAAAGAACTGCAAATGGATTTTGGGATCCCAACCAAGTTAGTTGAGTTGGCCCAACTAATAACACAAAACGTAAGATTGCTCCAGGAACGTTTGATAGATGAGAATGATCTTAAAATCATAAAGAACCTTTATATGAATCAAGTGGCATCTGTGAAAGAGAGGACTGGAATTTACATCATATTTATCTCTCTCTTTCTCTCTTCATGGGATGTCAGATCACGAATACACAAACAGATTAACATTTTAAAAATCAGAGGGCATAAGAAGTAGAGGACGACCACGAAGGAGATGGATTGATGATGTGGAAGAAGACCTACATATTATAAGGGTCATAAGATGCAGCGAAGTTGCCAGGAATCGACAGGAGTGGCGACTTCTTTGTGAGCAGACAAAGATCCTTAACGGATTGTCAAGCCACTTATGATGATGATGAATTTTTTGATCCAGTTTTGTTAGAATTTGTTTCAAACTATACGGAAGACTACCATGAAGAAATGACTTCTGGCGTTTTCAAAGGATATTTTGATAAGGTGATACATTCCTTACCAATCAATAATGTTGTAGTTAGTGGCAAATATATAAAAGCAGCCGTAGAAAAGAAGAAGTAAAGCTGGAAGAAGAAATTTCAGAATTTATTTTGTTTTTTTTTGTTATTTGTTTGTACTTTTTTTGGTTTTTGTCTAACTTTTATTTGTCTACGTTTATTATCAAAATATAACATAAAATAAAAAACTCACCAACTTATCTATCAAGCATAGCATTCTTGCTTTTAATAGTACCTAATTTTATAAATAGCCGGTCTCTTTGCATATATCTGAGTACGTATAATATTAATCGTACGTAAAGATTTACATCTCTATTGGAACAGCTGTACTATCCAAATACACCCGTAGATTTGCAGTTGCCTTTCTAGAGCCTACCTAACTATCGACACCACCCAAAAATACTGCTGTCATCCATGACATTTCCTGTCACAATTCAAATAAATAAGTAATTTTTCTATAATATAAATTTGTTTAATTAAAAAACTTACTGGCTATAGCATAATTTCCAGTTTATTCCTATTTTGCAGGCGTGAATCCCAGAAAGCAAAGGCGAGAAAGAACGACATTCACGAGGGCTCAACTCGATGTGTTGGAATCGCTGTTTGCCAAAACAAGGTATCCCGATATCTTCATGAGGGAGGAAGTAGCCTTAAAGATTAGTCTTCCGGAGTCCAGGGTGCAAGTAAGTAGGGTTTTATTAATAGAGCGTATCTTTTCTACGATTAGAATCAATATACTTTTCTCAGTTTTGAATTTTCAACGTAATATATTTGTTTTAAGAAGTTAATATTTTATTTAGAGTTAATTGATGTGTAATCATAATTTGGAAGTGAAAAAAATACATTTTTTTACAAGATTAGAATGAATTCAATCTGCTCGTCATTTCTAATATTTTCCTAATATTCAAATGTTGATTTCTAAACATCATAAATAATATACTAATAATTAAACCTATTTAAAAGACCGTTATTGATAATAGTCTTATGGTTTTTTTAGAAATACTTGGTTTCAGCCTATAAGATAACTTGCAAGGCGACGAAGGACCAGAAATAACTAAAGAAGAACTATTATACGCTATAAAAATAATGAAAAATGGTAAATCACCGGGTCCAGACGGGCTCACATCAGAACTTCTTAAGCTTGTGGAAGGCGAATCAGTGAATATTCTACTCGACCTTTTTAACTGCATCTACAAAAGAGGAGAAATACCAAAGGAATGGCTACTTTCAACTTTTGTAACCTTACCAAAAAAGGCAAATGCAAAACAGTGCACTGACTACCGCACTATAAGCTTAATGGGGCATACATTAAAAGTATTCATGAAAGTAATCCACTCAAGAATTAACAGAAAACTAGATGCAGATATTAGTAATACTCAATTCGGATTTCGGAACGGACTTGGAACAAGAGAAGCACTATTTGCACTTAAATTCATATGCCAAAGATGTCTAGATATAAACCAAGATATATATATATATATATATATATATATATATATATATATATATGTATATATATATATATGTATATATATATATATATATATATATATATATATGTATATATATATATATATATATATATATATATATATATATATATATATATATATATGTGCTTTATTGATTACAACAAAGCGTTTGATAAAGTTCGTCACGATCACTTAATGAAACTGCTAGTAGAAAAAAAACTTGGATAAAAGGGACATATCCGAATAGAGCAAGAGAAAACGGAGGAAATCGAGATCGAGAAAGGCGTAAGACAGGGTTGTATACTCTCACCGACCTTATTCAATCTATACTCCGAAGACATTATAAACACAGCACTTTCGGATCAAAATATAGGTATTAAGATAAATGGCATCCGAATAAACAACTTGAGATATGCCGATGACACGGTACTAATCGCAGAAACTTGGGAAGATCTTCAAATACTAATTAACAAAATAGTAGAATGCAGTGAAGAACACGGATTATCACTTAACATAAGCAAAACAAAAATAATGCTAATATCTAAATCACCACAAAACTTCCCTGACATAACCGTGGATGATCAAAGAATCGAACGTGTAAGAAGATATAATTACCTGGGAACTGTTATCAACGAAAATAATGATTGCTCTGGAGAAATCAGAACCAGAATAGAGAAAGCTAGAGCCACATTTACTAAATTGAAAAAGGTGTTCTGCGGAAGAGATCTAAGTCTAAAACTTAAAATTCGCCTTTTGAGATGTTACGTTATGTCAGTTCTCCTCTACGAGATGGAAACATGGACATTGAAAAAGATCGATACCAAAAAGATAGAAGCATTTGAGTTGTGGATGTATCGGAGAATATTAAGAATACCCTGGACAGAGAAAGTAACAAATGTGGAGGTTTTGCGGAGAGTGCGGAAAGAGAAAGAGCTGATACTTACTGTTAAAAAGCGCAAACTACAATATTTGGGACATGTTATGAGAGGAGATAAATACCAGTTGCTGCAATTGATTATACAGGGAAAGATAATGGGAAAGAGATCTATAGGAAGAAGAAGACATTCATGGTTGAAAAACTTGAGAGAATGGTACAGTTGCACCAATTACCAACTGTTTAGATCTGCAGCATCAAAAATACGCATAGCTTTGATGATAGCCAAACTTTGGAACGAAGACGGCACTTGAAGAAGAAGAAGCCTATAAAAAATTAAGCTTAATCTAAATGCTCAAAAAGCCATGAGAGCCTTTACTTACTAATCACTATCTTTCTGACTTTTGGAGAGTCGCTGAACTTTTTGCGTAAAGTCGTCTTATGAAATCAACCTACGAAATTTCGAGTTTTGTGTTATATTTTTTAACGATCACCATATTCGCAGCCATTTTTTAGGATCAACAAATATTTCAAAAGAATTAAAAATTAAATTTTTAAAATATAAAACTTCTTGCATGAAAGGGTCGGTCTTTTTACTTCCAGATAAATATTGTCCTATCTGACACATAGTTATCTGAAGGATAGACATTTAATTCTTCTTTTAGTGCCATCTTCACTAATGAAGGTTGGCTATGATCATTGCAAATTAGTCTCTATCTTCTGCTTTTCTTAGAGCGTCTGTGTGTTTAACCAGGTCCAGTCGCGAATGTTCTTCAGCCATTGTCCTCTACCAAGACCTCTTTTTCCTTCGATTTTACCTCTCATAATCAGCTGCAACAACTCGTACTTATCATTTTTAAGTACGTGTCCCAAATATGCTGTCTTCCGCCTTTTAATGGTGGTCAAAAGATCAAAATGTCAAAAGTATTTCATTTTGTCCACTTGCTCAATATCTTCATTTTTTATCTGGATCCTTGTAATAACTTTGCTCCTTTTACTGATAACCATGGTTTTCGTTTTCTTTGTGTTTGTTGTTAAACCAAACTGTTCCCCAGTATCACAAATTGTGTTTAGTAACGAATGCAGGTTTGTCTCACTTTCAGCGATGTAAGATATAATAATAAATTTTCACCATTTATCTTGATCCCTTCAGTACAGTTTTCAAATGCTTGCGTAAATAACTCTTCGGAATATATATTAAAAAGTAATGGTGAAAGTACACAGCCCTGTCTCACTCTTCTACTTATCTGTTGCGCATCCGTGCTATTTCCATCTAATGTTACCACAGCCTGTTGGTTTCAATAGAATTTTTTCACTATGTTTATGTCATTTTTGTAAAGTCCTTTTCTCTTTAAACGTTCCATAAGAATGTTATCTTTAACTTTGTCGAAAGCTTTCTTATAGTCTATAAACGCAACGAAAAGATCTTTCTTGTGAAGAGTTGTGAAACTGTACAGAGCTTCCACTGTTCCGAAGCCTTTACGAAAGCCAAACTGTCTATTACTCATATCCGCTTCGCACTTTCTGAATATTCTTGCATTTTTAAGCTTTAAAAAGGTTTTTAATGAGTGTGACATTAAGCGATTAATCTATAGTCATTACAGTGTTTGGTGTTCTTGGTTTTTGGTAGCAGAAAGAAGGTCGATAACAGCCATTCTGTAGGTATTTCACCAGATTTGTATATGTTGTTAAAGAGTATAGTTATTGCACTTAAATTGTCTTCGTCTATAAGTTTAATCAGCTCGATGTGAACTTCATCTGGCCCAGGGGCTCTGTCAGATTTTGAGTTGTTTATAGCACAGATTTTAATATTATTGGAGCTTCCTAGTTATAAATTATTACTAGATGATCTAGCAAATTTGAACTAATAGCAAATTTATGGAAAAATAGAAAATTTTTCATATCATTCTTCTTCTTTGAGTACCGTGCCGTAAAGTTTTAGGCGTGGGTAGCTTCCCACGATATCGATGTGCCGATATCTGCTGATAAGCCAGTCCATTGACGAAGGTTTCGGAGCCATGAGTATTTCTTTCTGCCAATTCCCCTTCTGCAGTCGATCTTTCCGTTGAGTATCAACTGAATTATCCTGTATCTGCTTCCTCTCATTATATGCCCCAGATATTCGAGTTTTATCTCGATAGATAGATATATTGAGTTTTCTCTCGATATATCTATCATAGAAAAAAGAAAAGGAATAAAAAAAATCAATCAAGGAAAAAATATTTTAATAGTGGTATCAATATCTCAGTACCTACATCAACTATAATTTTAGGAGAAGAGATTTTAATATTAAGTAAAAATTGATATGACGCGAAGTATCGAAACCAATTTTGTTTTGCAAAGCTTCTCTCTGTTCCACTGTATAATTGATTGTATAAGAATTATTTCCAATGCAATTTTGAATTTCAGCATTGTTTTAAATGTTGAACCTTGAGATCTCACATTTTCCTCTTCAATCCTCGTTGTATATATTTGGCAGCCCTCTTTGTGTTCCTAAAAGTGTTTTTTCCGTTACTTCAGTTGTTTTCTTATAGTCTGGTTGTTTTAATTTATTATTTATAACTGTTTCAATGATTCTTCGATATAATGGGATAGTGAAGCGCAACATATACATCTATTCTTTCTGGTACATCCTGCTAGTTAACTAACGGGGCTTTGACCTCCGAGTGTTTCCGGGATAAGCAATCCACCATTTACTGGCCAAAGGCTTAGGGCAAATGAGCTAGTAAGTGGAAGGACACTTTGTTGTCCTGAGACTGAGAAAATGGTCTCAAAGGCGGAAGAACCAAGAAAGTGGTCAACGGCATCAGAATGCAGAAGGCAACGAGAAGCCACTGCATTAAAGGTCCCTGATGACATCTCTAGTATAAATTATAATGGCTAGCACTATTTGCGCAAGAGACAGTATTAATTATGGTAATGGGGGACCAAAATCCAGCAGGGGAGGACAACGATCGAAACGCAAGGCCTCCTCGCTCCTCAAAATGCGAAACCCTTGCCCAAAAAACAAAAAAAATACTCACCCCTCTCAGATAAAAATAGCTACCTGGAATGTAAGAAGTATGTATCAACCTGAAAAACTATATAATGTTATTAAAGAGAAAGAGAGGCTAAAAGTAGATATACTTGGAAATAGCGATGTACAATGGTCAGGAAATGGAGAGATATCAATGAATAACCACAATATTTATTGCACTGGAGGAGACAAAACTAATCATCGATACGGAGTAGCTTTCATCATAAGCAACACTATTAGAAAATCAGTGCTAGATGTGATTCAAATCTCAGAAAGAATAATAATGCCAAAAATTCAAGCACAAAACTGTAATATAAATAT